CCCACCCTGGTCATTCCACAGATATATAAACCCTTTTTCCTCGTTCCAACAGACCTCACTACCTCTGAGGATGCTTGCCAAAGATGCAGGCGAAACGTCAGGAGAGAATGCCTCTAGACCATGGCCATATAGCCCGAAAAAACCTACAACAACTCAGTGATTCCAGCCATGAAAGCCTTCGACAATGCAAGATTTGCTGGGCAGTCCCGGCCTCTTGAGCGTTGTGTGGAGGAACACACCATTGCTGGAAGCGCTTTGTACAGACTGTCCGGAAGGAGAGGGAGGGATGGCCTGCCACTTTCACAATGGAGGGAAGGCTGTGTTTTCAGCTTGGGCCAAGCATGCGCCGGTCCTCGGAGATAAACACGGCGGATGCCAAGCTGACAGGTCACCCAGGAAGGTGAAACCCAACACCGGCTGTCAAGCGGCCTCCCGTTCTCTTCAAACAAAGCAGCAAAATACAGTTGTTCCTAGTCAAGGGAAGAAAGAGTGTGTCCACTACCAGAAGGGTCTGATTTCACCCGGAGGGGTTTCAGTGGAGAAAGTGGATCTCTGCGGCGGAGGCAGCGAGCAGGAAAGCCTCCCTCCGTTGCAAAAACATGAAACGCCCGTCTGCTCTAAACCAAAGGAAACGCTAAGGAAACAAACCCAACGAGGAAAGTGGTCGTGAGACTGAAGTGAGTAATTCCATGCAGACGTGTGCGTGCTGATTGTGGTCAAGAAACAGAGCACATTCCATGTTTGGAGTTATTTCACTGAAAATGAAACAGTGCTGTGAGCACTGAAAGAGTTGCCTGCACACACAAAAAAGGATGCCACTTTCTGTGCTATGGAACTGCAATGCATCTAGTCATCTGGTTGATTTAGTAACTAATAATCAAGGGATTCTGTACCTGGAATCACATTCCAGGCACCTTCTAGGTGTATTTTTCTTTCAGGTGGATAGAATAAAACTCCAGTCGTATTTGGAATGAACTTCAGGCATCTGATGGCAGTTGGTTGGGAGTCCCTGCAATGGGATTTTGACCTACATCAAGAGGAGTCTAGTGTCTAGATCTAGGGAAGTCATGCTCCCCATGCTCTATTCTTCCTTGGTTAGACCACACCTGGAATATTGTGTCCAATTCTGGGCACCACAATTGAAGAGAGATGTTGACAAGCTGGAATGTGTCCAGAGGAGGGCGACTCAAATGATCAAGGGTCTGGAGAACAAGCCCTATGAGGAGCGACTTAAAGAGCAGGGCATGTTTAGCCTGAAGAAGAGAAGGCTGAGAGGAGACATGATGATGGCCATGTATAAATACATGAGAGGAAGCCACAGGGAGGAGGGAGCAAGCTTCCTTTCTGCTTCCCTGGAGACTAGGACGCAATGGAACAATGGCTTCAAACTACAAGAGAGGAGATTCCACCTGAACATGAGGAAGAACTTCCTGACTGTGAGAGCCGTTCAGCAGTGGAACTCTCTGCCCCGGAGTGTGGTGGAGCCTCCTTCTTTGGAAGCTTTTAAACAGAGGCTGGATGGCCATCTGTCAGGGGTGATTTGAATGCAATTGTCCTGCTTCTTGGCAAAATGGGGTTGGACTGCATGGCCCATGAGGTCTCTTCCAACTCTAGGATTCTAGGATTCTATTCCCATTGAGTCTCGGAGGTGCTCCAGGGTTCCTTTGGGCTTCTTTTAATGTTGACACAGACTGGCATGGCTCTCTCTTTGAGGGCTGCTAACATTCAAGGAAGAACAAGAATACTTTCTTGCTGTGAGCAATGGCATTTCCTGCCATTAGGAATGCTCTGGAGATCATCGGGATGTTCTGGTGGGAGCTGCCTGCTGTTAGGCTAGATGGCCTTTGGGGATCCCTTCCAAGGGATCTCTCCTCTTGCTAAGAGGAAGACGACTGTTGGCTGGGAAACAGGAAGTGTGTGTCTCCCTCTAAGCTGTCAACCTTTCCACCTTCCTGATTAACTTGTGTTGAAAAACCTGCTGTAAACTTGTGAGGAATTTCCAGGCGGTGCAACGGAGAGCTGTTCTGCGGGGCTGGTTTGGGCTCCTCCGCGCTGCCCTTGGAGGCCTTTTGAGAGGTGTTTGCATGAACTTCAAAGGCACACCTTCTGTTTTGCCAGCCTGGGATGCCATTGCACACCTGCCCTGGATGCCACCCAACTCTTACGCCTTGTCTCAGAGCAGAACAGATCATTCCTGCAGGAATCTTTATCTCTAGCAGAGCAGTGTGCAGTGTAGCCCATACTGTATATGAGTGTATGGTTGGAAACAAGAAAGGAGGCTCCAGTAAGGTTTAGGTAAAGGCAAAATATTATTGTTGCAGGTGATAGGTCTTGGACATCTAGAAGGAGGGGGAAGTGGTCTCTCCATGGAGCCAGGAGGCAAAGCCCCTTGAGTTATCCACATCTAGTAAAAGAATCCCCCACCTTTTTTTTTATTGGGTTTTTATAATTACAGCGAAAGTGGGGGAATAATAAAAGAAGATAGAAAAGTAGGAAAGTACCAAAGCCATAACACCCGTGAAGTAATAAGAAAAGAGAAAAAAAAAGAGAAAAAAGTAAAAAACAAAAATCAAAAATCGAAAAAATTAGGGATTTGGACTCCCTTCTGATTTTGCTCATACAATATCTTTTGTATGTATATATTCCATTTTATACTATCAATATGTCCTCAGTCCTATTGTAAGTCCTTGTATCTTGTTTCAATATAATCTTCAATTATTGACCAATTTGTCTCATTAGCTAAACTGCCTGTGTTCTTCTTTAATAAAAAGGTTAACATGTCCATGTCCTTAATCTCATTTATCTTCTTTATCCAGTGGAGTTTCTCTGGTAATTCTTTCTGCTTCCAGAGTTTCGCGAAGACAATTCTGGCGGCCGTTGTCAGATATGTAAACAAGATGTCCTCATTGGACATCCCCCACCTTGAGTGATCGTAGAGCAGAACAGACAACTCTGCATCTGTATGCCTGTCCACTATGCTCTGCCTTATGTACAGAGGAAGAATTGTTGGAGGCTACAGACAATGCCGTTGCTGTTGCCCGTTTTTTGGTCAAAAGATATTTAGCCGCTTGTGCTCCTTCTATTTTTATCAGTTTTATACTAATTTATGCAATGCTCTTGACACAAAATAAATAAACCCAAATCTAGGAAGCAGAGGTGGAGCCAAGGCAGGGGGGCTACCCCACAGGGTTCCCTCTGGCCCCCCTTGCTCTCCAGATACTCAAGTGCGGATGCTCCTTCCCTTCGGACACCACCTGCATCCAGTCCTTGCCATGCGTTGTGCAGTCCTGCTCTTTGGGATGCAGGTTGCGTAGTGCCTTCCTGCCTGCAAACACAGTGAAACCTCAACTTGCAAGGGAACCAACATACAAGCTTTCTGAAATACGAGACGGCGCTCTGTTGATTTTTTGCTTTGACATGTGAACTGAGATTTGGGTTACGAGCGAGCGCAAGAGTATGCCACCCGCCACCTTAAGCAGGGCCTTAAGGGAGCAGCCAGGAAAACTCCTTGATCTTATCCTTATGGCTGTTGTTTCTGCAAAATCCCAAGGCTTGGGGAGACTGTAGGAAACCCGTGGGGCCAGGAGTCTGTCCTCAGGAGACTTCTATTCTGATTAAAATAGGCAAGCAACAAAGATATCTGCCATTCTAATTGATCTTTGCAGAAGAATTTTACCAAAGTTTCCCACTCCTAGCAGGAAAAAGAAACTCACGTTAGTGGCTTATAACCCTGCCCCTTCCTCCAATCCCCAGAGACCTTCCCCTTTCCCCTTCTCTGCTCTTCTCTTCTCTCCCCTTCCCCTACCTTCTTCTCCTCTCTCTTTCCCCTTCCCCTACCTTCCTCTCTTCTCTTCCCCTTCCTTCTCTTCTCTCTCCTTCCCCTTCCCCTTCCTTCCTCTCTTCTCTCCTCTTCATCTTCCCCTTCTCTCTTCTCTTCCCCTTCCTTCTCTTCTCTCTCCTTCCCCTTCCCCTTTCTTCCTCTCTTCTCTCCTCTTCCCCTTTCCCTTCTCCTTCC